TGTACCTCAGATTGTAGAACCTTTGTCAGTGTCAGCCATCAGTGGATTTCTTAATGTTATGGATATCTGTTTGAATCTATTTCATGAATTCTAGTTCTTTACTATTATTCAATGTTTCCATCACTTTCCTATTACGTTCTATTATTTTATCTATGTCTTCCTTAGATGTATTAAGTAATTCTTTCATGATTGTTCTCATTTCCTTTTTTACCTGAGAGATTATTTCTGATCTTATTTCCTCCATAGCCTGATGGAGTTGCTATCAGCTCAGAAATTTCAGGTGTGTGACTTCCAAGTTCTTCTATGACCTTGTCTCCTGGACTTGTTTTGGATGGACTAGAGGTCTGAAATGACCCTTTGCTACTTCCTTTTGTTTTTTTGAAGCTCCCATGTTCTCCCTGACTCCACAGTGATGGTAAAGGGGCTGGGGGCAGGTGAGCAAGGTTCTCAAGAGAGTAGGAGTGCAGGGTAGGCTCACCCAAGATCCCACTGTGTGGGGTTAAATATGATTTCTACCTTAATGGGGTCATGGGGTGGTAGTGGCAAGCCACAGCTCAAGAAGGATCTGATGATGATAATGAATGCAGGCCAAAGTTCTGAAAGGTTCTCTCAGTGGTATGGTGCAGGTTAGGGCTCACCAAGGTTCCTGCAGGTCCATGTGGCAGTCTTCCTGGAGGATGATGGGTGGCCAGGGCTCAGCTGAGCTCTGGCAAGGGTGAGGGGGAATCTGGGAAAGGCCACTGGGTCCCCCCAGAAGTCTTCCACATGAGTGTGGGTGGCTTGGACTCAAAATAATTCCAGAAAATGGTGAGTGGAGCAGGATGAGGCCTTCTAGGTCTCCCCAGCTGACTTGAGGGTGAGGATGGGGTGGGGACTCAGACAAGTCTATAGTGAGTGTGTGGCTTCTGAGAGCTTTCATTCAAAAATCAGAAACAAGATCAGGATGCTCACTATCATCACTCCTATTTAATATACTTCTGGAAACATTAGCCAGAGCAATTAGACAAGAGAGAAGTAAAGGGAAAAAGGATAGAAAAAGGAAAAGTTAAATTACCCATACTTGTAAATGATATAATACTCTACCTGAAAGACCACAAAAACTCTACCAAAACCCTCTAGATTTAATAGTCAAATTCAGCAGTATAACAGGATACAAAACAAA